TATCCTGAAGGTTTTCAAGAGGAGACTAGACAGTCACCTCGCTGGGGTTACCTAACCCCAGCTCTCTTCCTGCCTAAAGGGGGAGAGTTGGGTGGGTGTGGGGGCTGGACCTGATGATCTGCAAGGTCCCTTCCAGCCCCTGACAATCTATGAATCTACTTGAGATTTCTGTGCATTGGCCATTAGTCATTTCACTGTAGGACTCTTTAAGACCTGATTTTGACAGATTCTGAATTCTGGAGTTAAAGGAAGTGGTGGGTGCTTGTCTGGATTTGGACACTACAGAGCCCATCTTCCTACCCTAACCTGGCACCAGTCAGAGGCAGTCTAGGCTGTTTCGTAGTTGCTTCGGATCATATACTGTGAGCAGCAGCCAGTAAGGAATTTCTCCATCTCCCACATGCAGCCCTGCACAGTTGCCCAGGTGTGTCCTGGGATGCTTTCGCATTGCTCCAGAGCATCCAGCGGGAGAAGTTGCCAGACCCTTGGAGCTGACTTGCCGGATTGGATGTTTCCTCTGTCAGGGCAGATCTTTACACTCAAAGCCGTGCTTTTAGGAAGCTTTACATCCAGCTGGCAGCTGTGGGCACTGTGCGCTGTGGCGTGGGCACTTGGAAGAAATGTCTTGCACAATTAGTCCCATTTTATTGCTTCTCCATATTACACTCGATGGCTCAGTGCCACCTGTGCTACGTGGCATTTCAGCATGATCCTTCCCAGTTTGGGATGTACATTCAATGGCATTGGGTCAGTTCAAAAGGAATACAGAAATGGAAGTGTCAGCGAAGAATCAGTAGGTGAGTTTTGCAGGCCATGTTTTGTCTCACCTCCTAGGAAATAGTGTGGCAATCTGTTAACTGGTGATGTGCGCCTGGAGCAAGCACCTATTCCAGCAGAATCACAAGTAGCCAGTTCTTTTCAGGAGTGGGACCTATATTTTCACTGGGACAACAGGTGACCCTGACTTTCACGGAGGTTTCCTTTTACTGTGGAAATTGAACAGGCCCTTGCTGAATGGGCAGAGGTCAAGCAAATTCTAGCTCTATGTAGTCTTTGGGGTTTGATTTTTAGAAATGACTAGGTATTTGGAGGCAGGGGTGTTTTGCACCCAGTATCAGACACTTGAAAGGGGTCAGGTTTTCAAAGGATGGATGCTCTATACTTCCTGAACATCAGAGCCATTTAAGGCATCACAGGTTGGACATCCAAACATGGAAGCATGTGAAATCACTAGTCTTCAAATTCTTGGCCATAGTCCTGATATTAGATGCAAAATGTTTTAATGACGGTAATTTATCCTGTATAAGGTTATATTCAGTATAAGGGTGTATCTGTCAATCTTAGGACTTTGCACTAATTCCTGTCGCACATCTTCCATAGTCTCTGGTTTTCCTCCCTTTCTGAGATAGAACCTCCTCTCTCTTCCTCTCTCCTGGAGTTTTCTGTTGGTTAATTAATTTGTTTGATTTGTTCTAAGTTGTTGTATATTTTCTTTAGTTCTTATTCTCACTATGGCTTTTTCAAAGCGGCAACTAACAGTATTTCCAAAAAAGGACCAGACTTTGGATTCACTCAGTCTACTTAGGAAAATGATTCCATGTCTGGATCTCCTTCTCAGCTCTTTCCTCAGAAGTTTTCGTGGTTCCCATTGTCCCAGCAGAGTGCAGCTGTTTTGACAGCTCACAGATCGAAATGCAGTCTTTAATGTGGCCAGACCTTGTTCCAGACTCGATAGTCTATAGCTCAGAGATGTTGGCACAGGCACCATTGTTTATTCTGACATAAGACTATTAAGAATTTCAAAATGAAAAAAAAACATTAAACCTTGGTTTAGGAACAAAAACGCACTCAAGCTTTATTACTCAGGCCTGTGGATATATTGGGTCCCATTTGGATGTAATAAAAGCAGGTACAATTCGAGTGATATCCATGCAGTTGCACCTCCTTGCATCTGGTCTACTTGTGTCCCATTAAGCACTTTGTGTGTGGAGCTGCGCTCATATGCTAGGATTAGCATTGTTCTTACTACAGGAGAGTTTCCATAGGATTGGCTAGGCAAACCTTCTACTTTTCTTAGTCACTTCAAGCCCTCTCCTTTTCTATATGGTTTCAACGGCATACAAAGAATGATAAAGAAAACCATCAGAGGGAAAAGGGAGTGTCCTGCTTACAGTGGATCATGGTTTGATTTGTTCTCCTTACGTTACTTTCTTTATCCTATCCTCAGACTTTAAAGAGAAAGGAGAAGGAATATGAACATGAGATGGAGCGGCTGGCAAGAGAAAAGATTGCTACCCAGCAGCGACTGGCAGAACTGAAGAACGAGTTGAGCCAATGGATGGACATCTTGGAAATTGATAGAATTATTCGGCAAACAGTTCAGCCAGAGGATGACCAGGCATCTACCTCGACTGCATCAGGTACCATTACCTCCTCCGTGGCCACTGCCAGATACATACGCATTTGATAGTAAAAGCATATAGCACAACCATTTTCCCCCGCTTTTTGCCTCAGATCCCTGAATCTGGTGCCAGGTGATGAAACCTCCATTTGGCACCATGAAAGCTTTTCACTAAGCCATCCCCCATTTGGGCTTTGTAACAGGACCTAACAAGTTGCAGCATGTTAGCTTGGTCTGCACTTTTTAAATTAAATTCTTCCCAGCACAGTTCAACGCTATCAGCAAAATTACTTTCACTGCCAAGTGGGTACATCCACATTACTTTGCTTAAAACCTCTGTTGCATTTACAGGGGGGTTTCCAAAGCAACAGCAGCCGTGTTTTGTAAATGATGTTGGAGGATTCAAATGTGGTTCTGGGACAAGCTTCCCCATTCTGGGGTTGAAGGGGTGTATCATGCATGCAAGCCTGCCATTTGGTTTGTAATTGTGTTAAAGTGCATTAGGTATTTCAAGCCTCTCCAGGAGGAGTCTGGAAATTGAAATAAATAGGACTTTTTCAGGCACATTAACAGGTAGGTAATCTTTACAAAGCCAGGCTTGCATGGTACATCCAAGTCCTGTGTTTGGAAGTTGGACTCAGCACTTGGGTTTGAAGCAAACTGCCCTGGTGATAAGAGCCAGATGACCTGAGTTCTGGTCTGCTGGACAAGCTACTTAGGCCCAAATTCTAAAACCCATCCTCTGATTTTGGGTGCCCAATTTTACCTCCTTACACCTGGGAGCTCCTGTTGACTTGGGTGGAACTGTGAACAGCACTTCTGTAAACCAAGCAAAAGGCCGGTGGTTTGAGTATCCAAAGTCAGAGGACACATTTGAAAATTATTTTCCTTAGCTTGTTGCTTTGCAATAGTAATTCTTGTCCAGCTTTAGAAGGGGCAGCAATAATTTTGCCTGAAAAGTGCTAGGTAAGTACACAATACTGCTGTTTATATGTGCTGGTTTGTACATTAGGCCTGCAATTTAGGCATCCTCCTGAGACTTAGAACAGTTCAGCTCCCTGCCTTCCAACCTCAGTTCTTACGACACATCCCTGCTTGTTAGAACTGATTGGCTCTGGGAAGCAGATGTAGGGGAAAGGTCCTGCTATGTAGGAAAAAGTCTTTAGAAGAGAGCAGGATAGAGGAAGAAGTCACCGGAGCACTGGAACAGTTCAGTGAACTTTAACATGGGCTGAGAAGGACCTGTAGTGAAGATTAAATGATTCCTTTGGAAGCAAAGCCTTTTCACACACACCATTCCCTTCGACAAATGTATCAGTAAGAGGGGCCCTCTTTTGGCCTTACTTCCAGTCTGCTGTATGAAGAGTAGACAATTCATGGATGTGACATGCTTTTGCAGAGATCTGTGGAGATAAACAGCCTGTAATAATATGTAACAGTTCCTTCAAAGAGATGAGCAATCCACTCAAGACATTGCATGTGGGTGATACAGCAGCAGCCAGAAGGGGAAAACCTGAGTTTGCCAGTTGTGTTTTGGTCCTTGTATTATCACCATAATATCTAAGCATCAACAGACTTAGAAGTGAGACTGATGGAAGTTAGGAGTGAAACGCAGTGAAAGGAAGTGTCACTGTACATCTCTTCCACTAAAATCTGCAGGGAAGGATCTCTTAAAGTAGCCCAGCATAAGAGTGAAAGGAGGGTGTAGGAAAGGGAAAGCTCTTCCCTGGTTTCCTCAAGCTTCTGCATCTTCTAAGATATTCCAGCACTGTGGCATGGCTGCTTTTAGAGCAAGCAAGGCAAGTCAAGGTCCTGGTTTCAAGGGGTAACCACTTTTCTGCACTGACTGAGCAATTTGGTGACTAGACCAGTTTTCCTTATTCCAAAGCCAGAATGGGGTGAGGCAATCTCATTGGCTTATTTCCCCATCACTGTTTCCTTCCTAATCTGAGTGGAAGGGGAGGTGCCACCCACAGAATGACTTGGCAGGGAAGTCACTAGTTCCAGTTAGTAAGGTCTCTTTATACCAAAAAAAAGTTTGTCAGTGTAGGATTTGCCCCAGTTCTGTAACTCTGGGGTGTGTAGCCCTGACTTCCTTTTCTTTCCCAACCATCCTTTCCCTGGGTTTCTGTGAAGCTGAAATGTTCATCCTTTGCAAACTGAGAACCAAGTACTGTCCTTGTCCCCCATCAACAGATTCCTTCACTCACTTGACATCTTTATGGCATCACTCTTACTTGGTGCTTCTCAAAGGCAGGTTTTGCACTGCTGTACAACCCCTCCTTTGGGAACTGGGCTCTGAGTGGGTTGGGGGAGCCACTGATTGCCAGCATTGTGTAGGCTGCTGGCTTGTTTCCCCACCCTCAGTCAGGAAGGACTGACACCTCTCCAGACCCTCTTTTGGATCCGGCCCTCAGAGCACAGTCTGTTTAATTCAGTTGAAGACTCATGAGGTAACAGCACAAAAGCGACTCCCTTCACCAGTGCAAGGCTTCTGAGGACCAGACGCCTTTCTCACTGCTCCAGGATCACTGCCCTTCCCTTCCCCAGTTGAGCTCTCTTGGTTCTTGGTAGGCACTGCTTGACTCCTTTCCTGCTGGGTCTGCTAATCAGATAGGACTGGCTGACCCCACACCTTTTCAGGGAGCAGACCAACCTGTTACAAGTTGGTGAGGCCTCTGTTAGAAAAGGGAGGCATTGAATTTGGCTGTGCAGCACCTTCACACTTTAAATCAGTGACTGTCTTGCTGATATAATCCATTCTTCCCTTTTGTGCGAACCTGGTTGATCAGATTCAGCCTCTGCATTCTCTTTACCGGAGCTTCTTCCTTTCGTTTTTTCCAGAAGGTGAAGACAACATTGATGAAGACATGGAAGATGACAGGCCAGTGAACTCATTACCAAAACTAACCCAGCGCCAGCACCCTGAGCTCCTGAAAGCCGTCCCTTCAAATGCTGCTTCACATCACCCAGCGGTTTTGCCTCAGCACCTGTCTATACAGCAGAAACAAACCCCACCCCATGCGCAACCTCCCATCCAGACCCAGGCACTGGTCCAGCCGCAGGCGATTGTCCCTGCACAGACTCACATCGTGGCAGCCTCAACAGTGCAATCGACTGTTATCGCCCACACGGCCACCACCCACGCTTCAGTCATACAGACTGTCAACCATGTGATTCAGGGTCCACAGACCAAGCACATTGCTCACATTGCACCTTCCACGTCCAGCCCTGTACAACTTACCACTGCTGCTCAGCCTATCGGCCACATCACTGTGCACCCGGCTACCATAAATCACATGACCCACCTTGGCCAGCAGTTACCCATATATCCTCAACCTGTGGCTGTCAGCCAACCGGTTGTGAGTCATATTGCTCACACTATTTCTCACCAGCAAGTAAATGGAACCACAAACCTAGGCCAGCCAGCGGTGATGACCAAGCCTGCTGTAGGAACCCAAGTAGTCCACCATCAACAGTTAGTTGGGCAAACAGTCCTAAACCCGGTAACTATGGTCACCATGCCGTCATTCCCAGTGAGCACACTGAAGCTGGCCTAGAGCAGGAAGCCCTTTGGTAAAAGTCTTTGGCGGGCAGCCTGTCCCGAAACTCCATACATTCCAACCACGTCTGATTCCAAGGAAGAGAAGTGCAGAAACTCTGTGAAAACAGGAAGAGAAACACATATGAGGTTGGGAGTGTCACGTCCATCTTTAACCCTTCAGTATCCAGCCTGGCAGTGGTAATGAAAAACAGGGCTTCTCTGCACTTGAATTTTGCTAATCAGAGAAAACTTTAATGACAGTTGTTCATGGTGATTTTTTTTCCTTTTATGTGTAATCAGTGAAATATGAATATGATGTTCTTAAGACTTTAATTTTCCCCTTACATGTGTTGCTTCTTTGTAGAATAAAAAAAAAAATGCTGATCTCATTACTAAGACACTGCGTAGAATGATAAAAAAGTAATAGAAGTCTATATTTATATATATGTGTGTATATATATGTACCTGCTCATAGCTACATATATGTATATATACATATATATATATATATGTATATATATATATATATACACACACACACACACACACATATATATATATATATGTATATATATATATATATATATATGAAAAAATATAACATTGAAGAAGGCTTCTGGTAAGGATGATTATTTGCTGGATTATTAGACAACTTCAAATTCATTTTTGGAGGAAGAAGGCAGAGTGTACTCTTTAAACAAGGAACTTTAAAGACAGATGGTTTGGTGGACCAGGGTACAAATAAATGATACTAACAAATATAGTAAACAATGTTAAAGGTATTTCCCTTCAGCATATTACATTTCAAAAAACCATCTAAGATCACTGTGACTTGTTATGGCATTTTAAGGAAATTCTCTGTCCTGTCTAATAAAAGGAAAAAGAATACACAACTGGACTTCATTTGTTGGAATTTCATAAATGACTCGCTTTTAGTTACGTTGAAATAATACTTATTTTTTTTATTTCAGCAGTTTAAAATATGTATTGTTTCAATTTTTGTTTTGCTAACGCAATAATTGATTTTGCAGAACTCTCTCTGCACAGCTCTATTTCAGGATTCCTCACACCAGTTCCATTTCCTAAAAGCATTTTGACTGAGGCAGTGATTTCAAGCTTGCAGCTTTGCAATATAGTTCACTGGTCTGGTGGAATGGAACCTGGGACAAGGAAGCTGATGGAAAATAAGTTGATTTTTTTTTTCCTTCTTGAACTGACCACGTTTTAGTGCAGGATAGTGAACGGATTAGAAAAGGGATAAATGTGCATGTGGAGTGCTCCGAAGCTTGAGTGCTTTTGAGAGCTTTTTCTTTAAAAAAAAAAAAAAAAAAAAAAAAAAAAGAAATGAAATTTAGTTTTGTATAGGATAACAGTATATTCCATTAAATCAGTATGTATAACCTCACAGTGTGTCTTTACACAATACAGTGAAACCTGCACTAAAGAGCAACCCTCTCTTATCTTAAGTCACCATCTTCTGTTCCATCTTTTTTGATGGCTGTGTCTGATCCTACCACGTTCTCATTCCCTTTGGTGATGCAAGGATTTTCGGCTGGTTCTCGCCAGACTCTTGGGAGGTTGTTTAAGACATGTTTCATTGTTTATTGTTTGACTCTCCTGTTCCTTGTCCCATTTCTCCATGTTGTATTACAACTAACTTTCTCCTTTTTCCACTCTTTGATCCTGTAATCCTAACACAGGCAAAACTCCCACTGCAGCCAATGGAAATTTTGCTTGGGTCAGGACAAGAGGATGGTCCATATGCTAGCATATGCCACTCCATACATGTTACTGGCTCGAAGCAGTTCATAGCGGGCAGTAAAACTGCAGTAAGGCCAAGTTCTTCTAGAAACAACTCCAACCCAGATTAGACTGTGAGGAGCTTGTCGACCAGTCGCGGTTTCTGCAGAGTTACAGGACAACCTTCAGCCTCCTGACCACTGTATGGATTGAATCTGTTGCTGAGTAGAGATTTTCTGTAGGAGACATCCTTTTGTCCATACTTGCTCAGAACTCCCACTGACTTCAGTGGGACTTCTCCCTGAATGAGGACTGCTAGAGTTGACTTTCTGGCAGCATAATATTCTCAACGGTACAGTTGGATAGGTTTGATTGAAAAATCTAGCCAATTTTTGGCCTTGTCCACTTTTATCTTTGATACTTAAGAGGCAGGAGTTGCTGCCAGTAGGGTCCAGAACAGTTTCCCTTGCCAGTGTAGACAAGGGTATTTCTCCTAAGAATTGTGTGAGACCCATGTTTATAAAACCAAGCCTGAAGTGAGGGGCTGTCTAGAGCACAATCAGTAGGGAACAAAAATCTGTTTGCACTTGCATGGGAAATGGTGTTCACCCCAGCCTGTGTTGCTAGCGCAGTTTCCATAGCATAGTGGACAGATCTTGAAGTGAATTATTCCCTATCCCCAAAGCACCTTTAAACAAATTTATTCCCTTTCACTTCTAATGCACTGTAAGCATTGTAGGGAAAACAGATTTGCTACAGGTTTATTTTCTCTTTTACAAATCCGGGGGTTTTCTCAATAAGGTTGTATTTTTTTTTATGTGAGCTGGAGCCTTGATTGACCTCAGTGGAGATCAGAGCTACGTGGCAGGAGAGCTGCTGTTCATCAGAGATGCTTGAAAGCACTGGATCATTGTGGCAGAGTTGTCTGCCTTTTTAGGAGTAACTGCCTAACTTCATGTCCTGTGTATGGGGGGAACATAGAAAAGAGCTTTCACTGTTTTCATCTCATGCATCCTCATAGGATAACAAAGGCAAACTGGAGAGCCCCATCTGAAAAAGTGTTTCCCTTTTCAAAAGACAGAAAACTCAGATCTGGGCCCCCAAACTCATTTGCCTCCAGTTATGATGCTGGCATATACAAATGACTGGCTAGGGACCTATGGAGGGTACCACATGCCATCAGCGGTAGCTGAAGGTAGTGGGATTTGAAGGCACCAGCACCCAACTGGGGTAGACTCGTAGTTACACATGTTTGCAGAAAATGGCAGTAATTGCACATGCAAATTTTACTGCTCTTTCACATGCCTTTTTGCTTGTGGACCTGCTCCTCCTCTGCTGAGAAATTTGGCCCCAAATGGTGTCCCGAGAGTCTTTCTTCTCAGAGGCCCTGGATGACTAAGACTGAAGTAGATACAGATACTCCTAAAAACATCGGCCACTTTTCTACAATATTTTCTAAAAGAAAAGTGTAGACGGCGCAGAACTCCCTGGTTCATTTGACGCTGGGGAGGGAACGTCCTTGTGAGTTCTTCAGTCCTTTATTGTACAGACACGTCTTCTTGCTGACCACAGATTCTTCTTCTTCTCCTGTGTCCAAATTAAAATATAAATGATGCCATTGAGGATGGTAACAGGATGGATCTCCTGTGTGAAACCTCCTTCACTGATGTTAATAAGCTCTAGCACAAGAAAGGCTCCTTCCACTTGGCCAGGCTTCAGCCAGTCTGTTAGCCTAGAAATCTTGGACCATCCCTCTTCTAACTGATGTTCTCCAAAGCGATCAAAGATACTTTATTTTTTTTTTGAATCATCAAACTTCTTTCTGTTCTTTGAGGGAAAAAAAAACAGACCACAAGTCTTCTCTCCTCACCTCTGTCATTCCTATTCAGAAACTTCAGATTTATTCTAATACTTCTTAGAAATCATGTTCAGTACTGTATAACAAGGGGCACTTTAGAAATGTCTCTCCTCCTTTGATATGTGTGTTTTCCCTATGGAGAAAGCTATATATATAAATATATATATAAATATATATATATATCTGTACACTTTGGGATACAGAAGATCAAGTTGTCCCAAAAAAAAAAATCAATAAATATGAAGTTTACAAGAAACCTCTTCTGTTGTTGAATAATATTAGTTACTGGTAATCCTACCACAGAGAAGATAGCCAAAATGGGTTTCCTGGGTAGTACTTTTGAGCAGACTGTCGCTGTCATTTAGGGCCTGCTTCAAAGCTCATGTAAGCTGGTAAAAACACTTCAGTTGATTTCCGTGAGCTTTGGATTGGGCATTTAAATTGCTGCGTTTCTGGACTTTGCAGGGTGTATGTTAGCCTTGGTACATGTCTACCACTATCTGCAGTGTAGGATATTCTCCGAGGCTTGGTCTACACTTGAACGTTTTCTCAGCATAGCTGCATTGGTTAGAAATGTGGGAAAAAACACACCACAACTGTTATCGCTCTGCCCACAGGAACTGTAGTGTGGCTGCAGTTATGCCAGCAAAAAGTCATTTTTGATCCATGGTGTATTTCTGTTTGGTGACCTGGTTTAAACTATACTGGGAAAAGAATTCTTGCCAGTATAAGGTACATCTCCACTGGGCAGGTGTGCTGACATAGCTTTGCTGGATTAGCTGTGCTCACGGTTCCTGTTTAAGTGCAGGTATCCCCCTAGGTAAGCTGCCAACAGTCTGAATGTCAGTCATTTCCAGTCCCTTACTTCAAGCTAATTTCTAAAATTAACCTGCTGGATAAACTGCATCTAATTATAAACAGTCAGGAGTAAAATCAAACTAGGTCTTTAAATAGCATACTTATTAAACAGGAAGCTCTTTTAGGTGACCCTTTAAATATGAGGCATGGTCCTGACCTCCCCTAGATGTAAATGGAGAGTAATTTCCTAGATGTCAATGGAGTTACATCAACATGAGATTAGCCTCTTGTTCAAGAAGCCAAAATTTCTATCACCTAATATAGTGTCTCATGTTTAAAGGAGGTCAGGCTGTTATTCCCAAATTTCCTTGTGTATGCGTATATGTGGGTTGAAAGCATTTTACATCCACTTCACACACACATCGCATGGGTCTGAATGGTGACCCAAAGTGCAACATTTTGGAGGATCAAGCCTGTCATCTCTGAGCTTTCTACCCATGTGCGTGAATTAACTAATGTTTTACATCATGATTCAAAACTGGTTAAATACACAGTATCCTGTGGCCAAAGAAATAACTGTGATTGTAGCTACTTTCTGCTTTTCATACCCCACAGACTGCTGAGGATCTTTAAATCCAGTCAAAGCAGAGTTTCTCATTTTTAAAGAAATGCAGACCAATCACATATATTAATAAGTAATAATAATGAACTTCTTTTAACTGATGTCAAACAAAAAAAGAGGGTAGTTGGTGGGATTCTTAAAAAAACCTAAATCTCTTGAGTGTTTTTGAAAATCCTGCCCAGGATACACAAATATTGTGGTACGTGCTGGGGAACTGTGTTGACTGCAAAGTATCTTCCATATGAAAATCAATGGCATTGAGTCAGTCTACTGGGAATGGGGAATTACTATTGGGGGAATTAGGCCCTGGATAGAAAAGCTTTCCTCATCAGTTTATAAATGCAGAGTTCATGATCTGAGCTAATGCATTCAGATAGCACTTGGCTATTGAGGGCCAGGTCCTGAAGTCTTGACTCATACTTTTCTCAGGCTAAACTTGTATTGATCTCCCTAAAGACTGAGGAAAGACTTCAACATTTAGGCTCTAATCCTGCAAGTGATGGGGGACAGACAGCATGCTGCATCCAGGTGGAGTTGGGCTTTGCTTGAGTGCAGCTGTCTACCTGTGCATTGTCTTTTGCACAGGCAGGGCTTCAGTCCTCTGTACAATTCGGATTGGAGGATGTCTGATGAATGCAACTTTTACATGCATCAAAGTTTCCAAAGTTGAAAATCTTTTGCAACCTTCACCACTGCCAAAAATTAAGAGAACTTATTTTATACAAGGCAAAAACAGGCCACGTGCTTTACCTTTTATTTTTAATAAGTTGTTCTTTCCACTTGTGTTTCATCTGCAAGTAGAGCAAGTGAAGGAATCTTAATTATTAACATTTGGCAAAGCAGGGGACTGGTTGATGTTGAACAGATTAGGTAGCTTTGAAAGCTAGTTTTGACCAAAAAAGTTTCCTGTACATTTTGTTATGATAAAAAACAAAGATAATCATTACTAACGTTTTTATGAAGACCGCCCATAACAAAGGACTCGCATACAGCAGTTGAGCTTCCCAATCAAGGAAAACGCCCCCAAAGTGGTTAAGATGAAGCTTTGTTTCTGGGCTAGGAAATTACTTGCTTAATTGGAATAATCCTTCACTTTTCTGTCTGGCAGAGTATGTGAGAAAATCCTCTCTTTGCTCAGCCGCTGGCCATTTCATTTCCCCGTAAAAGATGGAGTGCACATCTGAGGCAATAACCCTGAGCAGGGGTCAGTGCACGTGCAGCTGGGAGGGGCGTTATTGAGGTCAGATTCCCATGCAGGTTCCCAGCTGTCCTGTTCTTTTAAATCCCTCCCTCTGTGTGCATACAAAACATTATTGTCGGATCCAGAAATTTGTGCATTTTCTATTGTGGACCCTGTCCTCCATCCTAAGAGCATCCAAAATGCCTAATGGTAGCACTGGGGAGCATGGAGCATGAAGGGTACCGGGTACATTAAAAATTGTAAGGGATGCCTCCAGAGTTGTTACAATTAGGGCAATCCTTTGATTTGGGATTACAGTGTAGAGGGGAAAAAGACTGGCTATATATCTGCATACTCTGTGTATGTGTGTGTCACTATACCTAAGTAGCAGTGCCGGGGGTGATTGTGTGTGCCCATACAGTGCATGCGTGTGTCTGTGGAACAGCGCGTGGTAGGACTAAACCAAAATCATGAAATGCCTTCAGACTTCTGGCAAAATCAGATCTTGGCCCACAATTTTGTCACTAGGCATCATTGTGCATCCTTGCAGCGTGTGTGTGTGTGTGTGTGTGTACGCTTGCGTGTTCAAGTTAAATGCTGAATGTCCACAATGAAAAGTACAGTTCAGGTATTATATTCTCTGTGGTAAGACCTTGGTAATGATAATGGAAAATGCTAAATAGAACCACGTGCAGCTGTTAGCGGCTGAAGGCCTCCATGTTGCTAGTCCATCGTTGAAATCCAGACATCGAAGAGCCTTAAATCTTCCTGGAAGGGAAATACAAATTAGGAAGGAAACTGTGCTCTTCTTGGGCAAAACTGAGTTATTTAGGTGGTTGTTTTGCTTTACAGCTGTCCTGTTGGGGAGGGCAGGGAGAAACCAGTAGCAAATAAATCGCTTCGTTCAGGGGTCAGTCCTGCACCATCCAATCAATGGGGTTTTTGCTGTTGTAACAGTGAACGCAGGATCACATCTTCATAGCACAGGGAGAAAAAGAGGTTAGTTTTTTACCCGCTACAGAGCCCATAGACCTGATGCTCCATCTACAGCTGCTTCTGCTCTTTTTTTTTAACTTGTGTACAATTTATCCAGGTAGGATTGGTAGTTAAACTTACCAACAACCAATTATTATTTAGTTTATTGTCGTGCCAGAAATATAGTAGGTCCAAAGATTAGGCAGGCTGTTGGATTCTAGTGCTGGACTATTTGTCTCTCCTTTTTTTTTTTTTTAATTAAAAGTGGCCTTCTGTAACAAAAATAAAAAAAATAATAAAAAAAAAAAACAAAATGCCTTTTGAGTGGGTTAGATGGAGGTGAGACTCTCTTGCTGCTTTTGTCAATATTGGTGTGATTGTCTGTATGCACGCCTGTTTATAAACGTATAGAAGTTCAAGCAAAGATTTTATTGTGTCTCCAATTTTTGTATGTAGCCTGTGTCTCTTTTGGACTGATTTGCATCCTGAGTGAATTTTTTGCATTTAAAAAAAAATGTGTGAAAATTGTTTTGGGTGGGGAGGGTGGGAAAAAGGGGGAATTTGAAGACATCACCTTGTGCGTTTGGGGTGGGGCTGGGTGGGTGGGGAGGCCTGGGGAGAAGACTGATTTGCCTGGTGTGAAAAAGATGTATTTGGCGTTTGTTTTGTATTCTCCCCTTCCTGCTTTCTGTGATGTGCATTGAAAAGCGTATTGCATAAAGGTAAACATTTCTTAGCTGGGTTGTGAAAGGGCCTGATCCCAGGAGGTGCTCGAAGGTTACATCCAAAGTCCAATAAAGTCAAGGAGAGTCTTTCCATTGGGTTTGGATCAGACCTAAAGGGTCCGGATTTTGCAATCCTTTTCTGTTCAGCAGAGCACGTAAGCAGGTGCTTAGGTCCCATTGACCGTGGTGGGATGCTGAATAGGCGTGGAGTTAATCACGTGTATAAATGCTTTGCTGAACTGGGACCTGGATGCCTTAGTTTTCTTTAAAGTTGAGTCCAGGTGCTTTGCACCTTTCGAAGCTGCTTAACACCTTTCAGGATGAGGCCCCCAAGCCTTTGACTCCCCTTCTGCGTGAAGAACCAGTTGTCCATTTCAGCTTCTTTTTTTCTAGAAGGACAGTGAAAATATAAAGCAAAGGAAAGAACCCAGCATGCTTGACCTCCCTCATTATCATTTTGAATAGATTAAAATTGGTTCCAAAGCTAAATATTTACTTTTAGATTTTGCCACCTTTAGTCAAAATATCAGCTGTTAGGAGCAGGCATCTGGAGTTATGGAAAAGGTCATCTTTTACCAGGGAGTTATTTTTACTCCTGGCTTTTTTTCTCCCTATTTTATAGTAATTTTAAAAAATCTAAAAACTTGAATAGCCAACAAGATACCAGCAAAAACACAGTATCATTTGCCATGGTCAGAGGAGCGTCATAGCGAGCAGCATTTCATTTGCAGTTTGCCTTTAGTGTGCTATAAACACGTTGACCCAGGATTAGGATTTCTTCACCAGTTTGCAAACATTTTCAGAAGCCTAATTCTCATTTACCTGCAGGGCTGTTTACACTGCTGATGCAGTATAAAGGGGCCTTAAAGTAATTATGAGTTATATTCATGCCTACTTTAAGATGCCATTACACTGCCAGAGTGGTGTTAAAGAGTTTTATTGTAAATTAATTTGACCTCTTTCCATGGGCTACAAAGTTGCAATTAACCTAACTCTTCCAAAGAAGCATGATGACTTTTTAGCCCACAGCATGCCCACGTCCGTACCACGTTTTGTCCTCTCCCTGAATGCTGAGATGCTTTCCTCCGCGTCTCTTGTTCTGAAGGGCTGTCCACTATCAATTCTGTCTGCCAGGTTGCGTCACGCAAGACTGTTCAAACCAAAAAAAATCATGGTCATTCCTCCTGATGGGCTCACTCCAGCAAGGTGATGAGTGCATTTGTTGATGAAACAAATCATCTGAATAAGGTTTTGGGAATTGGGCCAAAAAAGTCTCAGAAGAACTGATATGGATGCCTTACAGACATGCCTTAAGAACCTAACCCAACAGGACACTAAGCTTGGGCTTAAATGTTAAGTCTGTCCGTACGCCATTGACTTCAGTGGAACTGACCCTCTGCTTAAAGTTAAGCATGTGTTTGAGAGTTTTGTTGGATCAGGGTCTATGGTGGGAATGGAAAATCAAAATGATCCCATCCTTAAGTCTTGTGAAGGAACCCTCCCACCTGCCTTTCATCATTTAAGCACCTTTGTGGCTAAAAGTATTTACCTTTATCTACTCTGAGATCTTTTCATTAGGAATCCTTCTATGAAAGGCATTGATTCTGATTGCAAAGTTACTTCTGCTGCTTGCCGGCGATTCGGTACCAGGCAACCCTATTTCCTCCTACTGAGCATCACAGGAAAGCCAAACAACCTGAAACCAATCACACTGGGCAAATGCTGTCTTTGTTTACAGTGAGGACTTGTCACTGTGTTATCAATTTATTGAAATATTAAATATTGAAAAACCTAGACTGTAAAGATTTTTATGTGTTTGGATACATCTGCTATGTGAAAAAAAAAACTAATTTTGTACATATTGTATTTTTACTATTCAGCTGTATTATATTGGCTCTTCATGCTCCAGAATTTAGGTATCAAACATGAATAATATCCATGTAATAAGCACTTGCCTGAAATATAAAACGGAAATAAACATGCACTGAAACCTGAAACAGAAGTTTGCATCTTCCTCCTCTTGCTTTCCATATGGGTATTTCAGTGTATTTATCATTTTCCAAAAATAAGGCCAATGCTGCGTCCCTCTCCTGACTAGAACAAATAGGTGCTATTGGGCGGGCGGCCGTTCACATAAGCAAGCACAATTGCCACTAGTGTAAGTCTGCAAGATGAGGTCCTTAAGTATCTGTTTTGTTAAGTATCCTTAAATATTGGTCAGCCCCACTGATCTCCAGAATTCAGTATTTGCATCGAAGCATTATTCAAGTATCAGCATAAAACACAATGGGAGGAGCCTAGGATCCTCAATCAACAGTTCACATCACCAGATCACCCGTCTTCATTCAAACGCAGTCACCCACAACCTGCTTCTTAATAAGAGTGACGTTGCCGTAAGTAGAGCTAATGCACCTTCTAGCTGAATGCAGCTTGCTTAATTTGTAGTGGATTTTGATTTCTTTCAGGCCAAAGACCACAAGAGCTTTGTCATTGACTTCAATGGGTGAGGGATGCGATCCTTGGTCCGTAAGGCATATCCTATTGAAACTAATTATTGCCAAAACTGGGGCCAGTTGTTCCTGTTGGGCAGCTGGGCAGCTTTTCTGACTGATGGAAGCAGATTTTTTTGCCTTGCAGGTGTGTTACTAAACTGCATCCCTCATTCAGTATAGAACAGGGGGTTATCGCGGACAAAAATCTCTCCACCTCAGCTGGAGAAACTCTGCTAGCAAAATGGAATTGATGCCAGTAGGGTTTTACTGGAGCATCCAAGCCCTGATGCTGTGAGACATCCAGCGAGGTCCTGGGTGGGCAGTCTTTTCATGATCCTGTGGGGTCCCAGCTTCATCATCCAGAAACTGGTGCTAGGGCCATTGACTGTAATGGCCCTAGCATTGAATAATTTACATCCACTGAGGATCTGTCCCATAGATCTCACGTCAGCCTGCCTGGGACTTGGGGTTCAGTGTGGTTCCCGAAAAGAAGGAATATTCACCTAAGAGGAATCTTGATGCCCTCTGCTGGGCAGCTGTGGCATCAGAGTGGCAAAAGCCCCTGAAATGTTCGAGCGTATGGCTGGCCGCCCAGAGTCAGCAGCAGTCTATGGCTTCTGGCAGAAAAGTTAGCAGGATTGAGGTCATAAAAAGGTAGGGGAATGGAAATGTGAGCTGGCAAAGCCCTCCTTTGCTAGATGCAGAGTGGATAAGAGTGTGCATTCAGATGGCCTAAGATTTCAGCTTTCTCTCTTGCAGACGCTCGGCTTTCCTGACAGTGCTTTGTTGACATGTCTGAGCATGTGGATGGCTGGAGACACCCACGCACGTTTGCTCGTTCTGCGGTATCTCAGCTCCACACTCCTGTGCGTTTGAAAGGGTGGACCGCTCCAGGAAATGCCGGGGGCATCGTCTCCCGGGTCCCCGCTGTGGACACTGCTGGATGAGCAGAATGCAGGTCTGTGTTTAATCTTCCAGCCCCTTCTCCAGTGAGGGAAGAGGAGCTTCAGCCTTTGCAAGTCTTGGCGCCTCTGCTGGGAAAGCTGCCTGTCAGGGCCACTTGTGCTGGTCACCTTCATGAACAGGAAGGGACCAGCAAGAAATAATTTAGGGCCACTAAATTCATCTCACCCATTTCATTCAACTGGAACCAGCCTCAGCTGAGCTCCTTGCTGGGCTGAGCTGGATTCGGATGAGGTATTGCAAGGGCCGAGGTTCTGCAAAACAGTTGCGGCCGGTGTCCATAGGTAGGGAAATAGCCTTAACTGAAAGGGGAAGGGTTTGTTTTTGTCCGCAGGAGCAAGCAAGAGCTGGACGCCGGCTGTTGCTGCTTGCCAGCACGGGCAGGGGTCAGCACACATGGGGCAGGATGGATGTCTGCAAGGAGTGGCGGTCCCCAGGGAGATCTGGTAGTGGCAGAAGGGACACGTGCCAAGCTGTGCCTTCAGGAGCTGTTGTGAGATCCAGCATCGACAGTGATGACTGGCACTTTGTGAGTATTGTACAGGTTGCATCCTCCCTGTGGGGACTCCTTAGTAAGACTAACTTACTGCTGAGGGCTTTCCCTTGCTGCGGCCCTTCCCTCTGCACCAAGGTGCTGAACACCAGGGGCTGTCAGCAGCAGAGGCAGCCTGGCCGCTGGAGGCCAGTTGGCTGGGGCAGGCTGCGCTCCTCAAGGAGCAATGAGCAGCACCTGCGCAACGAGCAGCACCTGCGTCAACTGCCACAGCCAGCCTGCCCTGGAGCAGCTTGGTGGGAAGACAGGAGTCTGAGTGGGGCGAGAGGAGGGGGAAGCTGTGTTGTAAGCTCCTGTCTGGGCTTTCCTTCAGTGGATTAAGGAATGAAATTACTTCCCAGCTCTCACCTTCCCTTCCTGCATCGTGTGGATTGATCTGTTCTCCAAGGATTATTTTGGGCAATTCTGCTGTGCTCCACTCTGCTCTGCAAAGGCTCCCCGGGGATCGTGGCAGGACAACAGAGATGGTGAAGAGACTGCTGGTAAGTCCCACACTTCACTGGTGGCTTATTTTTAAGAGTGCTGGGCCCTAGCCACGTGCTGTGGTGTGAGGCTGCTAGCCTCTTGGTTCGATGTGTGCTTGGTTTTTAAATACGCGTGCATCTGCCTGGTTCCAGCGTTTCGCTACCTGTATCCCGCAATGGGTAGCTGGGTCACAGTCCTTTGTCCTGTCTTAAATACTGCTCTAAGGAACTATTTTACCATCAGGGGTTTAATGCTGCAAGCCTATCAGCCGTTTGGTGGTTGTAAACGCAGAGTTTTACACAGCTGACAAGTGCATACCCCATGGTAGGCAGAGGGCATGGCCCAGGCTGGCGCTCTTTAGAGGTGCCACGCACTCCTACTTTAACATGTGTAGTCGGAGGCTTTGCTTCACAGGCGTGTAGGCTCGATGGGTCCCAGTTGCATTTGAGTGGGTGAAGTTGTGGGTGTCTGTGCATGGGTCTCCCTAGTGGGGGGTATTGAGTTGAAAGCCTGAAATGAATGTAGCATTTATTTATTGTCACAAAAGTGAAAATTGTGGAACGTGGAGGGGGGAATGGGTCTGGGGCTCATATATTCTCCACAACCCTTGTTGCTGTGTGTCGAGGGCAGGAGGTGGTGTGTGTTTGAAAGGTGACACTGGGGATGTATTTACACTACAGATGCTGCTATGACTCCAGTTTTGTGTAGATGCAGCTACACTTGTTTTAAACCGGCTAAGATACAACAGCACAGAACTTGATGTGCCTGGGCAGTGTGTCGCTAATGAAATGTGGCTCTGGTAGACCTGAATGGGCTGTAGGCTGATGGTGGCTGTGTAAGACCAGGTGATCCCTGGCAGGATTGCTGATGTTGATGAAGGTTTGTCTGCTTGCATAAAGGTCACAAGCTGAGCTGCTGGGCTGGCAGAACTGAGTGTCAGGAGGTATAACATGGTGTGCCATAAACTGTGCAGACCCAGGCAGTGACCACCTCCTGACTTGGGCGTGTTGCCCAGAAATAAGAAGCAGTGACCCATTTAGAGCATGGCGGTGACTGTTTGGACTTCCTCATGCAGGTGACTGGTACTCAGAAGGACCTGAGGCCTGTATGTCAAACAGAGGAGCGCTCTGCCGACCTCCCTGGGTGGGCTGTCTTGTTTCAGAAGAAGAGAGCCTTAATCCAAAGTGAAACTATGTAGGTGGCCTGTGGGTATGCACATCTGTGGAGCTAAAATACAGCCTCCTGCACAAGAGAGGTGCGTGACACTCTCCATAGCAGGGCCAGAGTCTGTGTTATGCAGCGGGAGGTACGTGGATCTCCTCCTGTGTGATGCTACAGAGGGCTTTTTGTAGCGTGAAGGCAGAGGGGAAATCACTTGAGGAGCAGTTGTAATGAATTGCTGCTGGGTCTGGCACAGGAGCCCTCCTCTGTCACCCTGCAGCAGTGACTCATGCTTTGGCTTTTCTGGGATGTGCTATAGTTTTTAAAACTCTCTGGCATTTGTCTGTCTTTTCTGTGTCCCATCCCAAGCAGCTTCATGCCGCAGGTACATGGTCCTGCCAGGGTGGGTATTGCCATGTTTCGGGGACAGGTTTGGGCACCGTGAGGCATGGGCTCCGTTACCTGCTCTTCTGCTGACTACTGGCTTGGGGCATGACCTGTGACTGGGGCCTGGGGATCCCTGTCTGTTACCCATGGGTGACATAACACTTGCCCACCTTGCAGGAAGGCAGATGCATAGTCTGTAAGTACCGTATGATCCGTGGGTGCAGACGATGAACATGGCAGCCCGCTGCTAATTACAGCTTAGCTAGTGAGGGTCAGGGTGTGGGCAGAGCCCAGCACCCACAGGAGCAAGGCTTCTGCTGCTGGGGACCCAATATCAGCATGCAGAGTTTCACAGTAAAAGTCTTAACCCCCTCGGTAAGTATAACCAAACTGCCTAGCTGAGTTTCTGGCTCTTTCCCTGCCACATCAGTGCTTTCTGTCACCCCAGTTAGCAGCTTTGGTCTTAGGATTGATATTGGTGTCTTTACAGCTGCAGCCTTTAGATTTGGAGGCGAATCTGCTCTCAAAGGGCCGTGGACAGCGATAAAGTCTAACAGCCCTCCCTTCTACAGCTTTTGGTGCCAGGCCAGGACTTGGGTTTCATGGTCAGTGACCTGTAGGAGATGGGTGGGTCTCAGTCCAGTTCCTGGAGGTGTCCATGCTGTCAATAGCATCTCCTGCCCATTCCTCCCTTGGCCCTCCAGCTGCAGAGGCTTTAGACCTCCTGGAAGTCCTCCCCAAGCTCAGTGGTGACAAGTAATGAGCCAGAGTTAGCTGGGCTTCATGTAGTGTTGGGAACTGGGACCGGAGCTGTGATCCTGACTGTCGCTCACCTGCTGTGGGACTGTGAGCAAGGCGCCTCGCCGGTCCGTGCCTCCACTCCCTTGCTGTGGGACTGCGATAGTACCTGGGCGCATATGTGCTAAGGAAATTCACCGCCAGGGCATGTCCCATTTGCCTGACTTGCACCTAGGGAATACAACCTTGTAATTAGCCTTCTCTGGGCTCTCTTAATAGGAAGTAGCAGATTTAGGAGGGATATTCCCCCCCCCCCCCCC